GCTCTTGCGACGAGCCTCGCGCCCTTCGTACTGACGGCGAGACTTCTCGACGCGGCCGGACTCGCGCATGGCGGCGTCGGCCTTGAGCCTCTCCAAGAGCTGTCGCTCCTCGCGGGAGAGCTTGAACCGGTCTTCTAACTTCTCCTCGCGTAGGAGCGTGGGATAGAGGAGCTCGGCGGGAGGGGGAGGGCGCGTGGTGAGTATTATAGCGCCTGAGTTGGGATCGACCGACGAGAACCCGTACAGGCTGTGCGCGTCCTCGTTCCAGATCGCCACGAACGTGTCTATACCGGCCGGTATCGGGTGCTCGGCAAAATCGAAACTCTTGCCCCCGCTGACCAGCTCCCGCAGGTGGGTCTCGTGCTCGAGGTACAAGCGGAGGAGTTGAGCGGGATAGACGTGGATCCCGGAAAGGTGGGCGGAAGTGAGGAGTAGGTCCCCGCCCGGGCAGAGGGTCGAGTGGACGTGCATGGTGAGCGGTGTTGGCCTGGTGGTTGGGACGGCGGCGTCTGCGTCGACGGGAGGAGCGGGTAGATGGCGGATGATCGAGAACAGAGGGCTGGGGTAAAGAAAGCGGTGAGTCGACGTACCTATTATACTCCTGGCAGACATGGCTGATAAGGCTCTGCAGGAATACGTCGACATGACCCGAAAAGATCTGCGGGTCGTTAGGCGGTGGCGTCCCCGAGCCCTCGGGGAGCTGATTGACTGACTCTAGTCCTAACGCCTCCAGGTACATTCTTAACGCACCTAATGGTTCAGCCGTCCGATAAGGAATCCAAGTCCGGTCCCCGGACTTCCACTCGGCTTCGAAAATCGCGTCAGTTCCTTTACCGACGTGTCCGATGATTTTACTAACAGCCCACTCGTTGTCGGGGTCCTCAATCTCAAACACCTGAGTGTCCAGACGGCCAGGAAAAAGGCGGTCGTCATTGGGTTCGTGGATACGCAACAGGGACGCGTGAAAAACATCGTGAATGCCCCTCCTCCTCAAGCTAGGAGGGAGTTCTACTCGGAAGGAGGAGTTATGGTAGTCCCGTACGATGCGGTATGGTCCGATAAATTTCGGAGCCAGCTTACGAGCCAATCCCTTAGGTAGGGAAATGTTTTTGGTAGAAATATAGACCAGGTCCCCTTCCGAGAACGGAGCCGGCCTTCTACGGCGGTTAGCGTCACGGACATGCTTGGTCCTGGCCGCGATCACACTGTCATGCGCCGCCATGATGGCTGATTTGACTTTTTGTGCGTAGATACGTACCCCAGGGTACTCGTCCTTGGCTGGGCGATCCCAAATCATAGGGCGGGGCATACGGCCAGTGTTGAGGAAGAATGGGGCGAAACCGGTGGCGTCCGATCGCGCCATGTTAATGGCGAACTCGATGCCCGGCAACCGAGCTACCCAGTCCCTTTGGTCGGGTTTGATACATTGCCTTAGCATCTGGGATACAGTGCGGTTTGCACGCTCCGTGGAACCGTCGGACTCTGGGTGATAAGCACTAGACATCCGCAATTCCACGCCAATAAGCTTGTGCAGGTGTGACCAGAAGGTACTGGTGAACAAAACGTCGCGATCGCTGACAATAGCCTTGGGTAACCCATGTAACTTATAGACTTCCGAGAAGACAAGCTCAGCAACATCTCGTGCGCGATAAGTCGTCTTAGAGGGAATCAGATGCACCATTCCTGTCAAGAGATCGATCACGGTGGTGATCGAGTCGTAGGTACTATCTCTGTCCTTAGATTCAGGAAGGGGTCCCACAAAATCCATTCCGATCGCTTCCCAAGGCACTGCTGGAACTGGTAACGGGTTGAGGAGGCCATACGGCTTCTGGTTAGCTGGCTTACTGCGTTTACAAGTCTTACATGAGTCACAGTACGACTGCACGTCAGGGAGAAGGGTTTTCCACCAGACGTGGTCACGTAGAAGATCAGCTGTCTTTCGAGGTCCCAGGTGCGCTAACAAAGAATGGGCATGAGAGATAACAATCTCCCTAGCACTGCGCCCGTTGACTATGATGTGTGGGACACACAGAAGCTCACGTCCTCGCTCCCTGAGGAAGACTAGGCCGTCAGAAATACGAAAATTCTTGTACTGGTGCGGGTTCTTGACAACCGGCGCGAAAAACGCGTCTTCTGAGTACCTGCCTCGCAGCGCGCCCTCCAGGTGGATACCATCCCGAGAGCTTGCTATGTGGTCCAGGAGCTGGGCTTCGGAACGTTCAGGATGCTCTGCTGGGGTACTGGGCTCGGTCATAGGCGGAGAAGGTCCGCTAGCTGGTTCAGCCTCGGTGGGCTTGACAGCCCCTTGAGTGCTGGGAATGTTGGGGGTAGCTTGCTGTGTACCCGCGCCCTCCTGTCGTTGTGCACTAGGAGGGTGGAGAACGACACGCTTGATGCGAGCAGCGAACTCCTTGGAGGTCTCGGGACG